GAGCAGAGGCCCTGAGCGCTGGCTGCCGTTAAGCACCGAGGAATCGGGAGATGCGTAACGTCCCATTCCGCAAGTGCGACGGTTTTTATGTTTAAATCCCCTTTCATTGAAGCTACTAGCACTCTCGCTCATTCCACAAATAACGACTGAGCACTTGCTGTGTGCTAGATGCCATGGTTCCGGGCTTGGCAACAAGCAGTCGGGCGGGCCAGGCCGCTGTTCGGTGCTGTGTCCGGTTAGAGAGGCGGGTGTGCAGTAGGCTGAGTGGTGGCCCCCCCAAGAGGTAAGAGTTGGCTCCCGGCCCTCCGGGACCCGCGAACATGACCTTATTTGGAAAGACGGTCTTTGCAGATGTCGTTAAAGCCCATGCGATGAGACCACCCTGGGTTGTAGACAAGCCCTACATCCAGTGACAAGTGTCCTGGTAAGAGGCACACAGAGAGACGCAGAGAAGGCAGAGGCGGAGATAGGTATGCCAGGACCACAGCTAAGTAGCTCCCAGGCTCCCAGAGGCCCTGGAGGGAGCACCGGCCCCGACACCTGGCTTTCAGACCCAGCCCCGGTGCAGTGCATCCCTGGCGGTGACCTCCTGGGCCGTGGCGATCTGCAGCGGCGGTAGAAAACAGATCTGACCGTGGGCGGTGCACACCAAGAACATGAAACGGATGGGATGGGGCCAGTGGGCTACTTGTGTGGTCTGAAAATCCTCACTGAGGAGGCGACAGGAGTTACCTGAGAAAAAGGGATAGTGTCCTATATCTGAGGGGACAGCCAGGGCCGGAGGCCAACCTGGGAAAGACCTCGGCGCGTCTGATGACCAGAACGTCAGTGAGGCTGGAATGTGGAGGGGACAGGGCGAGTGGTGAGGAGGTGATACCGAGGTGGGTGGGAGCAGATGCCGTGGGGCCCCAGTGGCCCTGGGAGGACTGGGGTCTCCCAGGTGGACCCCATCTCAGAAAGACGGCACAGACGGGCAGGAGCACGGATGCTTCCTTAGTAAATGTGAGCACAGCCTGAGCGCTTTAGTCCGTTAAAAACCACAGCCTTTACCCGTTCTCAGAACCCCCTGCCCTCGTGTAATTCTTTATGAGTAACAGTGTCACAAATCCTGAGGTCAGACAGCACAGGACGCAGTGGGAATCTCAGGGGGTCCTTTATTTCCTTCGCTTTCATTTCACAAGGTGAAATTTCAACCTGCCCAGATTATTTCTGCCAGTTCCGGCAATGGCTGAGACCCCCTGTCCCACTTCCAAGGCGGAAGCCATCCCCGACGAGGTCCGAGGGCTGTGGAGACCCCGGGCTGGTCAGGGCCCGCCCGAGAGCCCCAGCATGGTGTGCCAGGATCCCACCGCCTCGTTCCAATCAGGGATGGGCAGAGGTGGGCGGTATTGCTAGCCGCTACTTCAGAGACCAGGCCTACCTCACTCACACGTAAAGGAAGCATTCTCAAGTATATCTGCAGTCTTACCCTTTCCCGATCGTTCTTCAAATGCCTGGCATTACCCTTCCCTACCTGTAAAATTCCCTTCTTTTTCACATTATCTTCCTTGATTGCTTCTTAGTATAAAGACAAAAGAACAAAGATGTGGATTTATTGTGCACAGTTGCAGGTCTCTAGGGAAAAAACGCCCAGAGCTTTTCCATGCCGCCTGCAGTAAGTACGGAGTCGAGGAGGGGGTCTGAAATAACCTGCTGTGGGGACACCAGCAGGGCTTAGTCAGAATCCGCTCGCCAACCACGTAACAGTGACAGATAAAAAAGCTGGCAGTTAAAATACACAGCCGTCACTCCATGTATCGCCCCCCCAAGCCTGCCCGACTTCTGAATAACAGGGCTTCCTAAGTTTTACTCCCCTTCAGTTCAACGGACAAAACGTAGCCACGTCTTAGCAATGGATCTGTCCCCAAAGAGAATGGCAATTTACCAGGATTTTAATTCAGTCTGGAGGAATGTGACTGAAAGAGTAAGGGCCATTTCCTAGTAAATGCCGAATGGGGGAAAAAGAATTACCCAAATGTGAACACCGTATAGCCTTGCTTTTGGGGGGACACGATGGCCATGCGTTAGACGGGGAGCCGTCGGAGTCCGGAAGGCCACGCCAGCGGCCGGTCCTGGAGCGCCCGTCAAAGCTCGTCGTGGTTCTTCGTTAGGTCCTCCCCGTAGTTGGTCGCCTGGCTCCCGACGAACATGTTCCAGTTCTCCAGGATCTCCTCCTTGGTCAGCTTCTCGTCCTGGGTACAGGGGAGACGCCCTGAGCGCTGGCAGCTCAGCAGGGCGCGGGCACTGCGCGGACCCGCAGTGAAGTCCCGCAGCAGGCCGGCAGTCCCCAGGTGGCCCGGGAAGCCTGCTTCCCTTTCGTGCCCTAGCCGCATACCCTGGCTGTGCACGGCCTCAGAACTGCAGCGACCAGCAGGTGGGCAGGCAGGACTTTGCTCTAAACAAATCCCTTACTTGCGTTTTTATCAGTCAACCCGGGAGCACAGGGCCCGCTGGTGGCCCGGCGGCAATGCCACTCTGTGATGCTAGGCTTCCCTGACACCCTGGGGACACGCGTGTGCCTGTGATCTGGCTGCTGAGGCAGGGGGGTCACGGCATGGGGGTGCCTGTCTCCATGGAAGAAATGAATACATAAAATAATAATAACAGGATGAACACGGAGGTACTGGACATGGAGCCAGAAGTGCGAGCCTGCTGGCTCAGGTCCAGGCATGGATGGGGTGGGCTTCCCCGGCCTGACGCTCACACCTGATACCTGTCCGAGACCGAGCAAAGGCTGAGCTGGCTGGAGGGTGATGCAGGGCACACTCTTTACATCCACATCCTGCTCCAGCAGATGAATGACAGGACTTACTGGGAGCCGGGACTGGGAGGCGCCATGCCCGCGGTGCACTCCCGGGACAGCCTGGGCCTAAGCAGCTACCGCGGGTGAGCACGGGATCTGCTCCAGTGCCCAGGGCCCCTCCTGCGGGACCATGGGGCGGGTGAGGACATCTCACCAGCTGACCCTGCCATCACAACAGCAAACTAAACCGTGTGTCAACGGTTGCCCTCGGCGGCGAGTCTGGGCCCGCGAATACCTTGTTCCTGTCGGACTCGTACACCAGGTGCCTGGCCTCGGCCTGCGCGTGGTCGTAGTCCTGCGGGAGGATCCAGTGGCGAATCTCATCTTTGTCCAACTTCCCGTCCTTGTTTAGGTCCCGGAACTCACTGAACTGCTCCCGTTCGGACAGAACCCAGTCTGGCTCGGGGCCGTTCTCCTCGTGCGAAAACATATCGGCTGGAAGGGAAGGTCCTTCTTGGTTAGGAAGACGGCGGGAAGTGGGGGAGGCTGAAGATGGAATATGTGACCCCCGCGTTTCTGGAAGGGCGACGGCCAATGGAGAGCTGACTCAGAGCTCTGGGGAGTCTCGGAGGTGATTCTGCCATGACTGGTCTGTAAGGTCACGTGAGGATCCAGAAGACTGGGCGGAGGACCCAGAGAGGGACGCTGGACTTGGCCTGGGGCTGGGATTGGGTTATGTCATTCAGCGACTGAACCTTAGTTTTCCTCGCCTGTGGAATGGGGATGGTACCTCAGGTCGGGGTTACCATGCAGGTCAAACGGGCCAGTGGCCAATGCGAACCGGCACAAATAGGCGAACACTTCGCTGTGACCAAGGCTAAGCTCTCGTGGTGGTCCAGGGGCTGGACAGAGCGCTCCGCCTGCATCTTCTGGGTGTCCATGACCACCGCATGAAGCAGGCGCTTACTGGGCCCCATTAGATGTGCATGCCAAGGTCACCTCGGACACGGCCCCGCGCTGCACAGGAGCACGGGCGCTGCTTCCCACCCCGGCCCTAGCCGTGGAGCTTGTGACGCATGGGGCTTATGTCATTCTGTCATTTTATGACGCCTCATAACCCTTCTGGAAGACAGATCACCCCGTGTCACAAAACGGCAGGGAGAGGAAAATCGGGAGATGCCCTGTGCATGCCTCTTCCGTCACTGGGTCTTCCTGGACAGACAGCTAGCCTGTGGCAGGCTCTCGCGGATGGGGGGCCGCCCGGGGAAGACCAGAGCTCTGGGGAGTCTCGGAGGTGATTCTGCCATGACTGGTCTGTAAGGTCACGTGAGGATCCAGAAGACTGGGCGGAGGACCCAGAGAGGGACGCTGGACTTGGCCTGGGGCTGGGATTGGGTTATGTCATTCAGCGACTGAACCTTAGTTTTCCTCGCCTGTGGAATGGGGATGGTACCTCAGGTCGGGGTTACCATGCAGGTCAAACGGGCCAGTGGCCAATGCGAACCGGCACAAATAGGCGAACACTTCGCTGTGACCAAGGCTAAGCTCTCGTGGTGGTCCAGGGGCTGGACAGAGCGCTCCGCCTGCATCTTCTGGGTGTCCATGACCACCGCATGAAGCAGGCGCTTACTGGGCCCCATTAGATGTGCATGCCAAGGTCACCTCGGACACGGCCCCGCGCTGCACAGGAGCACGGGCGCTGCTTCCCACCCCGGCCCTAGCCGTGGAGCTTGTGACGCATGGGGCTTATGTCATTCTGTCATTTTATGACGCCTCATAACCCTTCTGGAAGACAGATCACCCCGTGTCACAAAACGGCAGGGGAGAGGAAAATCGGGAGATGCCCTGTGCATGCCTCTTCCGTCACTGGGTCTTCCTGGACAGACAGCTAGCCTGTGGCAGCTTCTCGCGAATGGAGCACCGCCTGGAAATGACAGGTGGAAGGGGCAGGCGGTGGAGGAAGGAGAGAGGCCAGACCCTTGGCTCCCGGCACCTGATGCTGCACAGGGTCTGGAGAAGGGCTGCCACACAGACCTGGTAACCTGAGCCTCGTCCGGTCCTGCTAGGGCAGGTGTTCATTCCCACTCGGCAGACTGGGAAACGGAGGTGGGAGTGATTGCAAGACTCCCCTGGCACACAGCTCGTAAACGGGCAGTCAGGGCTGTCACTTCCAGCCCTCCCGCTTCTCCACACCACCCCACTTTCCCACCCGTCCCTGTCTGAAAAGGCTCCCCCAGACAAAAAGGAAGTCATTTGTCAGACAAGTTGATACACTGGGTCCCTCAGATCACGGGTTGCTCAGTACTCAATCTGCAAGCTCTATCTCTGCTCAGGGTAAAGAACAGGATGCTCCTAGGACCAGCACGTGGTGTAACGGTTACATCACTGGACTCCCACATAGTCGATCGTGGTTTGAATCCCGGACCTGGCAACCTTAAACTCACGCCGGGTATGTGTGCATGGGTGCCCAAAATCCCTAGAGAATGGAGGAGAAGGCATTGGTGTAGTCATCCCTCTGGGGGATGATCTCTCACTTTCTGTCTCTGTCTCTCCGGTGAGCACAAGTGCCCTCTAGCAAAAGTAACTCTAAAGAAAAAACAAATGGGATACTCTTTTCAGGCAGAGCCATGCAGGGAGTTTTGCTCTAGTCTGCCCCTTTTCTGTGCAGCGTCCAGGAGGCCAGGAGAGCACAGGCTTCCCGTCAATGCCGCTGCATTGTTCTACCGATCAGTCAGCCTTCTTGTCAGTCTCATTCCATCACCACCGACTCGGAGCGCCGGTCCGTGCGTGTGCCCGCAGGGGCAGCTCCGTGCCTGCACTGGTGAGGTGGCTGTCAGCATCGTTAGCCTGCGAAGCTGCAGACCGATGTCACCTTACCGTGGCAAGGGCTCCCTGTGCTACCAGGGACAGAGCCAACAGTGTCTGGGGCTCAGGACCCAGTGGACTGTGTGCTCATTAGAAGAAAGTGGGGACTACCAGCTAGTATAATGGCTACGTCGCTGGATTCCCACGTAGTGGACCACGGTTCGAGTCTTGGACCCGGTGGCTTAAACTCACGCCGGGCGTGTGTGCGTGCCCAAGATCCTGAGAGAACAATGGAAGAGAAGGGATTGCGGTGTGGCCATGCTCCCTGGGGGGAGAGTTCTCACTTTCTGTCTCTCTGTTTCTCTCTGTCTTTCTGGCGAGTGCACACACCCTATAACAAAAGCCTCTCAAAAAAAAAAAAAAAAGAAGAAAAAGAAGAAAGTGTGAAAGTGTATTGTTCTTCACTAAAGAATACGAAGGCACGGATCCTGGCTGACGGTGCCCACTCCATACGCCCACAAGGCGGCCACTGAGTGCAACTCGGCTACAGGGAAAGGGAATTACTAGCCTCTATCCCACATCACAGACAAATGACAAATGGCCCTTCCCTGTTTTCCTACGTCAACACCGGAATCCGTTTTCTGGCTTTCACTTTGAGACGTGGGGGACAAGAGCTGTCACGAGGAGGCAGCCTGTGGCTGGAGCCAAGCGCTGGGTGGCTGGCGAGGACGCGGGGGAGGACACCTCCTGGGGCTGCTGCAGCCCTTCTCACTCCCCAGGCCTGGTCAGCCAGGGCTCGACACCCCAAGACACTCACCTCCATGCTGCTTTAGGGAGCCTGTTCGGCACAGGACGTCCGGCGTGGACCGCCACCCAAAGGAGGAGGCGAGCAGAGTGGCTTGGGGGGGCACGTGCCTCTAGGGAGAGCCTTTCCCTGCAGAGCCCGGCGGGTGCCGGGCCCTCTGCTACACAGCCACAGCTGCTCGCTCCCGGCCCACTGCTCCGTCTGATCTGAGTCTGTTCCTCCGACACTGACTGCTCGGGCCTAGTGTGATCCCCACCCCCGGGATCTCCTGTGCGGCTCCCCAGGTAAGGCTGGGTGGCGTGATGAAAGGCCCCTTTCAGAGCCGCCAGGCCACTGCACTGGCCAGCCTGGTGGGAGGCCGCCTTTTCATCTCTTCCCCCGACTAAGGCCGCCTGTGCACCACGAGGGCCGGGGAGACCAGGAGCGGTCACAGTCGACACCGCCGGCCTTGCAGCCATTGCTGTGAGGCAGACAGAGGAGAATGTCCAGACACGCAGGCAGGGCCGCCTGGCTGGGACGGCTGAGCAGGACTGCGGCCACACTCACCGACATACTCGTCCTGGTCCACAAACCCGTCCCCGTCCTTGTCAATGTCCTCCAGAGTCTCCTAGGAAGCAAGGGGACAGGTGAGGGTGGCCACATGCCCCGAGAACCCCACTGTCCTTTGTCCGGCGTGTCCAGCTAGGACTTGGTGACTTCTGGCCCATCTCCACAGCTCCCTGCATGAGTTTCTATCTGTAAAAAATTAGGCAGTTGGTTCCTGACCCTTGTCACCCTCGAGGTCAACACTCCCTTCAATGGCGCATGCACCTGCGAACCCAGAGGTGCCCCGATGATATCAGGACAGCCCACCAAGCCGGCCGTCTCCACCATCCGGCGAAAACAGCCCCGCAGGGGACCGGCGAGGACCTCGGTGCAACAACAGCTGGACTGAAGGGTCACAGACCCCAGGGCTCCCTGGCTATGCACATGGAGTAGCAGCAGAGAAACGTGATCGTGGACAGTGAGAAGTTAAAGTGTATTTCTGAATGTTGAGGGACCTCTGGCATATTTGACTTCTTTTTTTTTGAGAAGATTTTTGCTATAGGGCACGTGTGTGTGCCAGAAAGACAGAGACAGAGAGACAGAAAGCAAGAAATCACCCCCCCAGGGGGGATGGCCACACCGCAATCCCTTCTCCTCCATTCTCCTCTCAGGATCTTGGGCACGCATGCACACGCGTCTGGTGTGAGTTTAAGCAACCAGGTCCAGGACTCGAACTGTGGTCAACTCCATGGGAGTCCAGTGACATAGCCATTACTCCAACTGCTGGTCCCCCATATTTAACTTCTTAATTAGGTTTTTGCTACAGTCTGTAAACTGGGCACAGCCACCCAAGGCACCTACGTCAAAGAACACAGCCAATCGGGGCCAGCAGGTGGTATGGTGGGTAAGGTGCTGGACTCTCATATGGTAGACTGCAGTTCAAGTCCCAGACCTGGCAGCCTACTTTCTCTCTCTCTCTGGTGAGTGTATATGCCCTAAAAAGAAAATACTAATAAATAAAATTAAAAATTAAATAATTATTTTTAAAAAAGAAAATAGCCAACCTGAGAGTTTTGCCTGACCCCCCTCATCACCCTCAGGCACTAAACGGATGTCGGGTGGCCAAGAAGGATGGTTCTCGGAGCTGCGGCCCGGGCTTTGGGTCGTGGTGATCATGGGACAAAGCATGAGCAAGACCAGAGCCCCCCCCCAACTAGGAGCTAACGTGGTCCCGAGCCGAGGGCAAGCACGGCACGGCTGCTGCTTCCCGCAGTGGGGCAGCTGGGGCGGGCGAAGGACACCCGTCGGGAGGCAGGCGCTGGCGTGTATCTAACTGTCACGGAGAATGAAGACATCCAGGCCCCAACAGAACACTCCGGCAGCCAGGGCGGTGCGCAGTAACGCAGTCCACGATGCTGAAGCCACGGGAGAGTCCCGGGTCTGCACCCGAGGACAGACGACAGCCTGAACACTCCACGGGGTAAGCCTGTCTCCTCCTTTCAGTCTTGCTTGCTCATCAAAGAAATCAGCTTTTTAAAAAGACATTCAGTCTTATGAACATCGTCAACCCTCAAAGCCTCGAGTCGGACTGTCTGCCTGCTG